GAAATATTTTGTTTTGGCTCTTAATCGACATAAACATAATATTTTTTTTTTAAATGAAATTTCGCGAGTTTCAGAAATTTCATCAGGACCTCCATAATCAGGTGGTAAAGTTTTTAATTATTCGGTACACCCGGTTAGGTGAAGAATTTTATAAATATCTATTATTTTAATTAATACCATTAAATTATATTCAGTTTTACAATTATTAATAAGACACTTTCATGGCACCTTAAGGGTTGCATGTGTGTGAATGTTTTGAAGTTAGGACACGAGCGAGCGAAAACCCCCCACCCTACCGTCGCCGCCGGCGGCCGGCGGCCGACTGACGTCTGGCGCAGCGTCTGGCGTAAGGGGATTCTCCGACCACCTGTTGCACAAGGTCAGTGAACCCGATCAGCTGTGCGCCGACCGTCACTCCTCGACGCTCGTTTTCATAGTTTCCGCTATAACAAAATTTTTTTTTCCTAGCAATTTCGATTGTAATGGTTATTAGCCAGCTGTAAAGAGTGAGATTCGGTCACCTGCTATCATTAAAAAAACAATCCAATTCCAAAAGAAAAAAACAACTAAATATGCATTATCAATTTCACATCGATAGCCATAAAGTTTTAAAAAGTATTTAAAAGTTAGTATCCAATATGTAGGATGAAATTGAATATCTAACATCTACGTACATGTGAAAAAAACGAAAGTGGTAAAATTATTCATCATTTGCTACCTGAGATTATTTGGAAACAGTGAAATATCACGAAAACTAAATATGCATTGTTAATTTCATATACACGAGCGTTGATTTTGTAAGAGGTATTTAAACGTTCATTCGTAAACGTAAGAGGTATTTAAACATTCAATATCATCAAATGAAACGTTCCATTAATTAATTCACACGAAAGTGATAAGATTATCGAGTAATTGTTTCAGAACGGTCGCTCATTCTTAAAGCAGAAGGGATGAGATTTGACGAATATTTTTCCTTTTAGATTTCTAAATTGGAAAGGAGTCAAGGCAAGGTAATGAGGAATATTTGATTATAGTGATTCTTCCACACGCACGTGCCTATAACGCATCAATGTACTTTTATTATGTTTGGCTATGCATACCACAAGATCCTGTTCAATTCACAAGCTGTGATCCTTCCTTCCCCATTAATCTCCCTCCCTCGCCTGTCTCCGTATCAGCATCGGAACAAATAAAAAGTACACCGTGGCGATAACAATAATCCGCATTACAACATAACGCTACCCCTATTTACAAGCCTGGCGTTCCGTCGACGAGTCATTAGCCGTAAACATAATTTTTCATTTCCATTTCTTTCTAAGTGGAACGTACTGCGGCGCTGCGATGAATTAAAACAAGGAGAAGAAATGTTAAAAGGAAAACCGAAGATAATTAAAACGGACGAGGACTACGTGTCGAAGTCGGAAGGATTAAAATCGTGTAACTCGACCAAAACTAGTGTCGAGTTATCGCGATTTATAAAAACAAATAATTTGTACATTTCTCGTATAAACTTGTACCGCGCTAAGATAGAGAGAAGAGAAAGAAAAAAAAACAAAAAAAATGAAAAAACGGTAGCAGAGAGATCGATACAGCCCAGCAATTGGATCACATCATGAAGCCACTAAATGTTGAAGGGAGAAGCGCTTTAATTAAACGCTGAAGAAACAGAAAATGCGTCTCGAACGAATACCCTAAAGTACTATTTTTTTTTTTTTTTCCTACCAATTCATTCCCCAAGTACAGTGCAACGCAAGTAATCATATCAGCTTATTCGGATAACTTGACAATGGTAGCCCCATATAAGGAGATTCTGGTAAAATTCGTACTCTCGGAATATGTGCAGTCTAGTTATTTTTTTTTTCCAGATCAATCTATACAGCGGAGTCGACGATTCGCAATTGAATAAAAAGACGTTCCTTCCAAGCCGATTCTCTAAAAATAAAAAATAAAGAAGAAGAAAACACCGACCCAGCAACCTTGTATATCTCTCCCTGATTTTTCTAATTACCAATTAATGTACAATTCGCAATAGTCGGACGATGCAATTACACTACGTAAAGGGTTTCGACGATTTGAACTCTTTAACCCTTGAGAGATTTCCCTTTTCATGTCCTATTACATTTTGGTGTACATCGAAATCCCCGTCGTGTGCAATTACGCTAAAGTATATATATACAGCGTGGCAGTGATTACACACTCTACATTTTTCCTCGTCATTTTGCGACTCTACATGAATTGCGAATATACGTGTAAAAATAACGAAAGTTTATATATATTTGCGTGTACAATGCATATAGACTTTTGTTATTTTCCGACTCCCTACTTCCTTTTGGATTTCCCTAACGCATGTAAGATCACAATTTATTTTCCCTCCTTGGTTTCTTCCCTGGGCGTTCCAAATTAATTTCCCTCCCCCTCTGAAAAGATAAATGAAAAATCGCTGTACAGTGTAACGAGTCGAAGCACTTCTATCCTTATTTGCATCGCATGACCTGCAATTACGTTAACAAAATCATTCCAAGGTGATTTTCCAAACGAAGTGTTATTAGCCTTTATTTTGATTTCTCCCCAAAGAGTTCACATCGCGAGATTAATTGTTCGCCGAAAAAGAATAATGAATTTATCTAACAAAATCAACAGGTAAGTCTCGGATCTTAGAGTTTCAAAGGGGAATTTCGTATAATCGCGAAGATCTTCAAGTTCCCTCGTGTCTCGTGTTTAACTTTTGTCGGCGAGAATGTGCCATGGGCACAATATTTACAAGTCGATATATAATTGATTGTTCTTCATAGCTTTACACCGCAACGAGTCAAGAACTGGTTAAAGAAGCTCGAAAATTAACGTTACAGAAAATCGTCCCCTCGTCTATTTCCTATTACTTTCTTCAATTTTGTTACTGCATCCTCTTAAGGTGATATCAAACTGGAGTTGAAGAGGTTCTCTTTATGAAACTTTTCTCCGAATTGGGTTTACCGAATCGTTTTACGCTTTGCAACGTGAACATAAAGACTACAAGGAAAGTCCTAAAACTCATGAAATTTCAATTCTTTTCGAATTTATTTATATGTATTTCTAAAATGTTTTATATTAAAAATGAACTCTCGCGAGTTTCAGGACCTACCTCAGGGTCTCCATATTTAAAATAAAATAACAAAAAAATAAAATTAAAAAAATTTGTAACGATTCGATACACCCAGTTCGTAAAAAAGTTTCATGAACGATTGAGCTTTCGGATGCCACTTTCACATCCCCTTAAGGGATACGAGGAAAAGCTTTTACGTCAAACAAATACAATTTTCAATCCGTTAATTGCGCTCAGTTACAGTTTCCTCCATACGACGTTAGTATAATATCATCAATTACAAACTAAAATGGTATCTCGCTATGCAAATTAGTTTGCTCCGTAATTAATTACTTTTTATACTCTATATCAATATATATATAATATACTCATCACAGTGCTACGGACACAAGGTTGTGTTCTGGTTGTTTTTAATTTTTCATTATATATCTATATATACGTGTAAATAATATTCTTTTTACTCCTTCCTTCTCCACGAAGAGGAAACTACCGCTTCAGCGACGCGAGTCGTTCGTCGAAATATCTCTCGATTAAGATGAAACTCATTGAATGGTAATCCCGACAATTCGCCTCATTGCGTAGAATTTTGGAAGACTTCAAAAATAACCTTTCGGACCCATTCATCCTGGAATTAAATTTACAATCTTAACGCGACGAAGGAAACACCGAAAAAAAAAAAGAAAAAAAAATAAGCGGTGAACATCACAGTATTTTGAAAGACCAAGTCTACGGGGTTAAAAGTAATAATAAATACTTAAGGAAATAATTGACCCGAGACACCTCGGCGAGCGAGTCGCATCTTGAAGTTCCCTTCGAAATGGTTATCACTTGTTTAATTTTTCAGAGCAGGCTGGCAAAACCACGTGGCAGTGTCATCCCACTTAAAACGCTTTCATACCGTTTTCCCTTATCGCGTGACTTTATCGCAGGACTATATTTACAATAATTAGGCGGAAGAACGACGTACCGTGAAGATCGCAAGACCCTGAATGGCAGGATCAAAGAGGTGCCCCGCAAACCAAGAGAGAAAAAACAGAACAAGAAAGACCAAACAAGAGAACAGACGTCTCTAACAAGATACAATGTCTATAATATATGTATACACGTATGTATGTATATCACGTTTTTAAAGCTGCTCTCGCAGACATTTCCGCAACTCCGAAGCATCCTCTTTGATATTGTCCCGGGATCCTCCTCCGCAAACCAGAAGAGGCGAATAAAGTCACTCCGACTGCCAATAATTCGCCCACGAAACAGCCTGAATCACAAATATTCTTTTTATTTTCCCTCAATCGCAGCCAATTGAATATATACCCCAAGAGAAATAGAATCCAAGTAGAAACGGAATATGTACATGTACACCAGAAATTGAAGAAGGCGAACATCTGAAGATAATTCGCGCCGGACACTCTACACGGAGGGACCTCGATTGTCGGGAACTGGATTAGACATCGGACAAGTCGCGTTCTAAGTTAAATTCAAACGTCACTAAAGATTAAAATAAAAACCAAAAAATAAAGGGAAAGAAAAATTCGCAAATCTAATCTCGCGTTCCCTCCACACCGAGTCCCACGAGAAAACAAACATTCCACTTCATCCAAAAAGCTCAATCTACCTCTGACGAAGAGCACAGTTGTGATTTACCACAGCCAAACAAAAATGTATTTGCACCGAAACAAAATTATTCCTTCTCCCCTATCCAAGTGGATCTAATTTAACTCTACTAAATCGCAACTCTATCGGGATCGATTCTCTTTCCCTTTTCCCTTAACTTAATAAAAAAAAGAAAACAAAAAAACAAAGGATTCCCGTTCGGCGCGCACCCTTTCGCAAAGTCCAGCTCTCGGCTCGAGCGTTCTCCTCGACGAGCTCTTCTCTAGCCGAAGAATCTCTCTTCCTTGGTGTTTGTCGTTTCGTCTTTTTTTTTTCTTTCTTTCTTCCTTTTCTTTCCTTCTCTTTTCATGTCCATCGTTCGGCATTTCTCCCTCGTCCCTCGGCGATCTTTTTCGCGGATATCAAGGAGTCCTCGAAGAGGCTCTCTCAGACCTCGACGTGCGGGGGACTAGGAGGTGGGAACGTCTGGCAGCAGCTCCACGGGAAGAGCCACGCGGCTCAGCACCTCGGGGAGAATTTCGGATTCGTGGGGCCGTGGATGTAGCTTCTGAGCTCCTTCGAGGGCTCCGTACCGAACTCCGACGCCGTGTCAACGTCGGACTTCCGGCAAATGATCATACGGATGTCGGTGTGCAAGTAAATCCGACCTGACTTGCTGGACATAAATCTGAAAGCAGGACACACCACCGTTAATACACAATTTATTACTTTCCATTTACAAGTACGTGTTACTTTGAGTTATCTGTATTATCTTTGTACCATAGAGGTAATGAGTAAAAAGTCATATCGCTAAAAGCTGCACAAGACTGTTTACCTCTGTGGTACGGATTTGCGTAATGAAAAAAGATATGACAATTTGTTACATGTCCAATGTTAGTTACTGTTATCTTTGTACTACTGATGTTTTATAAAAACGTGCGATTTATCAAAAAATATGCATAACGTTAACGCCTCCGTTAAAATGATGTGAAAGGAGCTGAGAAATTTAACCGAGGGAGATAAATTAAAATTCATCTATACCTTTAGTGGTGGTAACGTCATTTTGAATACTCAAGGGGTAACATAAGCTGGCGCGTCACGTTAACGACATTTATATTTATGTTGAAGTCTTCTACAGTTTATGTTGAAAATTATACGAACTGAAGCATTCCATATTGCATTTCGGTAAAGTAATGATGAAGAGATCGATGTAAAACTATCGAAATTCCGTGAATTCATTATTTTAACGATTGGTTAGGATCAGCGTCGCCATCTGTGACGTTTAGCCGCAACTAAGCTTTTGCTCTAAGAACACGTGTTAGCCCCGAGACAATCCAGCATTCTCTTGCAATCGTTGGTGAAAGTATTTCCATATTTTCCCATGTGACTCTATAATATTCCATTTCTACGGTATTCTAAATTGTTCGAGCTAGGTCTTGAAACTCTTCATTTTCGATTCTAAGCCTCTAAGAAGCGTTAAAACATCGAAGACGTGCACGGACCACGCCACGTTGGTTCTAGTCTATGATAAATAAATTAATTTATGATGAAAAATGAAATTTCATGAGTTTCAGGACCTACTTTAGGGTCTCCATGTTCCCGTGGTAAAATTTGAAACGAATCGGTACCCCCAATTCGGAGAATACTCTCCCCAACGATTTGACTTCTCGGATATATACAGGCTGACTTTTTCATATCACCTGAACGATCTAGTGCTTCGAACACATATTCCTTCCTTCCGCAATTTCATTTAGTAGTAACTAAATCAACGAAGTAAAGATATTCCATAGCATTACCTAAGATGTACGAGGTAGCGTAATGTCTTGTCGCGCAGTGTTCTCTGACGTAAAAAAGTATGAGAACGTGGCGGCATGTCGGAGAGGTCGTAGAGTACTACGAACATCTTCACGACGGTGCCTAAAGGGTTGAGGAGGGTCACCTGTATGGTGCCGCTCCTTGGCACTTGGTATCCCTTCTTTCCTAGGTTTATATGAGCCTGAAATCAAAACGGATCATTCCACCAATTGACAAAACCTCAGAAAAGAAAAAAAGCAGTCTCATCCGCTAAATATTATCTAAAGATTGCTAACAAATAAACGAGTTCCTTGATAGATTAGAAAGACCACGGAAGGTAGAAAGCTATATAATAAACGTAACTAAATGAACGAAACGTTTTTACCTCGTTAATTTTTTTATACATTCTTTCTTTTTTTTTTTATAACAAATTTACAAGCTCTTTCTCGTCATTATAATGGTCAAGGAGATCGGTCGAAGAGCGAAACTAAAACAGAACGTTGCAATTACATTTAATAAAACCTCCATGCGAGACCCCTCTTACCAATTAAATTAACAATTAAATATAAAATGAATAATCAATAATTAAATATATAATTTCCTAACAAATAAACGAGTTTCTCGATAGATTAGAAAGACCACGGAAGGTAGAAAGCTATATAATAAACGTAACTAATATACTCTAATGCAATATATATATAATATACTCATCACAGTGCTACGGACACAAGGTTGTGTTCTGGTTGTTTTTAATTTTTCATTATATATCTATATATACGTGTAAANAATTAATAATCAATAACTAAATAATTAATCACAGATTGTGTTTAGTATTTCTGTCTGTTTTAACAAAGTAAGAAGGTCTTGTCTGGTTATACAGGTGGTAGAAGGCAACTTACGAGGTACGGCGTGGAGACTTTGTCGTTGTCCCCGAGGGTGTAAAAGAATACCGTCACAGGAAGCTTCCGATGCTTCGGACAGAAGGAACCGCTTGCACCCAACTCCGCTGTGAAGCCATGCACCGTAGAGACTGGCTCGAGTCTGCCATTTAGGGCAGATTCCTCGAAGTTACCCAAAAGAGCGTGGCTCTGAGGTCGGCTTCGAGACGTGGATCGCCTCTTCGGGACCTCCTCGCCCTCCCCAAGGTTCTCCGTCTCTCGATCCGTCTCCTCCAGTGAAACCGCCCCAGGACTTGGAGGGGTGTTGAGCTCGAACAAGGCACTGAAAATCACATACCACTTAGTACATTTAAAAGATACCAGCTCATTAACACATTCGCGACCGGCAAATTTTTTCCGTTTCAAATACCGAGTACCAGCGGAAATAATGAAATTCTGAAACTGGTTGCCGCAAACCTGTGTCGTGTATCATTATGGACATAATTCACGTCAACGGCAATCAGGAATAGAATTAAAAAAAATGTGAATTCACGTCAGCAGTCGCGAATGCGTTAAGTTGATATGAAAGGGTCGTTCCATGTATCAAAACGTCAAAATATATACAAAACTTTTCTCTGGACGAAAAGAACGCGATGCTCGTGACATTTCATTTTTCAAGAAAATACAATTTTCTCTTTTTATTTAGCCTGGACCAGAACCAAGATCACATTTTTTTTTGTGAAAAATGAAATTTCACGAGCATCACGTTCTTCCTTGGGACCTTCGTAATCCCTTGCTGAAGTTCCATCCGGTGCATACAGGGTGGAGAAAAGTTTTATGTATATAGAATGACCCTTTCGTATCACCTTAAAGGTGACTCAATGACCCTCACCTCCTCTTAGAAGAAACCGAGTTCAAGCTGCTGTCGTAGTCGAAACAGCAGCTTCCCCTCCTTAGCGGTGCAGGGCTGGACGTTAAGGGCAGCCCAGTCCTGCTATGGAACACCATAGACGCAGCGTTTTCGAGAGACCTGCGGAACCTCTCCTGTTCGATGGCAGAAGGTACTCCTTTATCGACGGCTTCGTCTTCATCGACAGCCACGCCGTTATCAAGGGTTTTAAAAGCTGGCACGTGCACCCTCTCCTGGTGGTTAACTTTATTGCTTCTAAGGCTGGAGGCTAAAGAGACATCGCGCTGCTCCGAGCTGGTTCCAAGGCCATTCTCCAGGACCTGTCCATTGCTCCTACGCCAGGAGTTCTTTCGACGTGCATCGAAGCCTCCCTTGCCACCCGGATTTGTACTTTGCGGTTTCCCAGCCTGATGGTCCCTCCTGATCCAAAATACTGCGGACGAGTCGAAGCAATCTTCGTCACGAGTGTCCTCCTCTTCCTCCTCCTCCTCGTCTTCTTCATCCTCCTCTTCGCTATTTGTACTATGGAATATCGGTTCAGGGAAATAACCCTCAGGGGAAGAGTCTTCTTCGGTTGATCTGGGATGTCTCGGAGAGTCTGAGTAGTTGATCCTCCTCTTGACCCTGTTAGGCTCCTTCGGGCCCCTTTGGCTTTGCACCGGATGGGGTGGGCTGCCCTGGGAGTGGTTCGACCCCTGCCTGGCAGACTTGCCAATGACAGCTGGATGCCACGGGGGACTAGCCGAACGCTCTTTGGAATGACCTTCCGACGTCAACGTTTCCCTTGTCTCTTGCTCCCTCTTAAAAAACTGCCTGAACCGATTGAATCGCTTGTTCAGCGCAGACTGTAAGGACCTCTCGTCCTCGTACGGCGCGATCCTGGAGTCCGCCCCAGGCTTCTCTGGGCCGGTGCGGCTCAAGGGATCGGCGGAAACAACTGGTTTCGACTGTTGGCCCGTCCTCGGCCTGGTCCCATTAGAAATGTCGGATAGGCCCTTTCTATCTTTGCTCGTCCGCAGGATGGCTTCCAGCAGGACGTCGGCCTTGTTCGAAGCGCTGCACCGACACTCCGTGGACTTGTTCGACTTGTCAGGGTCGAACGTATCCTCTGCTTCGGATTCCTGCCATTTCGGGACTTCGCTGCCACCTCCTGGTTTTTTATTCTTGTACACGATCTGGAGCCGACTGGACAACGGCTGTAATTTCGGCGACGGGGCGTACGTGACGGAGAGCTGGTCGTTCCTCCGGCAGTACTTGCACACGCAGCCGTCGAAACTCACGGCACGGTTATTCTCCAAACGCGCCCTATTGTCCATACTGTCTGCAGAAGCCACCCTGGAGGCGACTTTATCGGTGCTTCCTTCCTCGCTTCGATCAGATTTATCCGTTCTCTTGAGCGTCCTCAAAGGACCTCGTCTGCGACCCGAAGGAGTCCTCGCTCGCAGCACGGCCAAGACCTCGTCGAACTCCCGCTGACTCAGCTCCAGGTTGCAGTTCTTGAGCTTAACTCCGTTTGCCTGTGGATCCTGAGATTTAGATTCGATAACACTTACGGGCTTCTCGTCGATCACTCCATTGCCGGTGACTCCGAGCACTCTCCCTGGCACTTTGCTGAACCAATCCAGGATACCACCTTCTTCCTTGGTCTTCTCCCTTTCCTCGGGAAGTGTCAACTTTGACATAAGCTGCGAGAGATCCTTCGACGAGGACTTGGTTTCCTTCTTCGGGTCGAGGCTCTTCAGGAAATCCTTCCCAGTGGGTGCACCCTTTGCGCCAACTTGCTTACCCGAGGTCTTCGACCGACTCTGATGGACCGAGCAGGCTGATAAGGAGAGATTCACCTTGGATCGGGGGTCGAAACTATACGTCGAAGGACCAGGATTCGATTCATGAAAGGGACTACGCTCACCGAACGGATTCACCACGAAATTCTTCTCACGCGGTATCAGGGTCACGGGGGGGATTATCCTACGACTCGACCCGCCGTCAGACTTTTCTCGCAGCCCATGGACGTTCTCCATCGAGCCCTCCCTGTGATGTAGACTGCTTCCATTCCAGCACTCCTCGTAGGGCCACTGCAGTGGGGCAGCAAAAGTAACAAAGGGCTCCTCGTTCTTGTATGCCCTGTACTCTACTTGACAGTTGTCACGAAAGGAGCCTTCTTGCTCCCTCGAGCGGTCGATTCTGCTCCTGCGTTCACCAATCCTAGCTTCCCTATCCTCTGGAACCTCCACAGTGGGCTTGTATCGTTTCTCCACGTTGCCCTCTTGCTCTCCGATGCTCATCTGCAAACGAAAGCTCCGATCCAATCTGTCAAAGTCATTGCTACTCCTAGAACCATCCTGTCTTCCTTCCTGTTGTTCCCTTTCGAAGTTGGTGATCTTGCTCCGATAACCAGGACTCTCTGACTGGATGAGGTACGTAGAGCACTGCGCTGTGGTATTATGATCACTCTTCATTGCCCTTCCTGGTGTTGTCTCCTTCATTGCAGACTCCTGGACCGATGGCAGAGTAGCTGGATGGATCGCAGGACAAGGACTCGCATCCACAGGACCGCATGGAAGGGATCTGCGTCGTTTTCTCTCTCCGTTGGGCCTGATCGAAGGCGAAGGTGGGCATCCATCCTCTTCTTCGCAGCGACAGTGATGTTTCCCTGGTTCGTTGCACGGGGTCTGCAGTCTGTCGTCCACCAAGGCTGCACAACAAGATAGACAAAAACCTCTCATTACCTTGAATCCGCTTTTTATCACAACGCAACATAGTCAACTAGCTCTCAATTACATAGACTTCGATTTACTCTAAAGCCCCGATTACATTAGAGTTAGTACATGAACACGGAAGTAGTGAGTATTACTCTACTGGCACAAGGTAAACACCTTGGTATAGCGAGAGTAGAGTACTAAAGATAGTAACTGGTAAAGTATACTAAATACTACCCGTGGAATGAAACACTCTACTTTCCTTTCCTCGACCACAATCCTCATTCTACTCTAGCGATGTAAATGGGTTTATTACAGTGGAGTAAAAAACGCGTATCTTTAAACCAAACCCTCCTCTACCAAACTACTATCTTTGTATACATGATTAACCTACCGCAATAAGCAGAGTGGAGTAGTTTTAAAAAAATAAGCTAGGGTATATCTGTACTAATTGTACTTGGTAGTTAGTATAGTAAATACTAAAGTAAAGTATAGTAAATACTACGCGTGGAACAAAAGACTCTACTTTCCTTACCTCGACTACAATCCTCACTGTACTCTAGCGATGCAAATGGATTTATTGCAATGGAGTAAAAAAACGTGTATCTTTAAACAAAACCCTCCTCTACCAAACTACTATCTTTGTATACATGGTTACCCTACCGCAATAAGCAGAGTGGAGTAGTTTTAAAAAAATAAGCTAGGGTATATCTGTACTAACTCTACTAGGTAGTTAGTACAGTAAATACTAAAGTAAAGTATAGTAAATACTACGTGTGGAACGAAACACTCTACTTTCCTTTCCACGACCACAATCCTCATTCTACTCTAGCGATGTAAATGGGTTTATTACAGTGGAGTAAAAAACGTGTATCTTTAAACAAAACCCTCCTCTACCAAACTACTATCTTTGTATACATGGTTACCCCTACACAATTAGCAGAGTGGAGTAGTTTAAAAAAAATAAACTAGGGTATATCTGTACTAACTCTACTAGGGTAAACGAGGCTTTACAGACCAAGGCCTTTACTCATATCTCACATTTAGCAGCGCTTTTAAACATCTTTTAATTAATGATAATCGGACCGCCGCTAAAAGACGCCATACTCATATCTTCTATTATGACTACTTTTAGTTAAAAGGCCGTTTTTACGAAATGTAATATGACAACGTCAAAAAAATGTGACGATTGCGTTCCGCGTGCCCAGCACGTGCCAAAAGTTCCGAGTCGGCCGAACTTTGACATAAAAATGGAAAGTGAGTTTAACAGAATAAAATCGGAACCGAAGCCCAATTTCTTGGTTAACCAAGAACGACATAAATTCGACTTCGAAAGTCCCTGGTATTTATTTGATGCATTGTATTCACTTCGCGAGCTTTTCCTCTGTGAAAAATGTCGTTAATGCATTCCATTTATCATGTGCGATTTTAATCACTAAAAGCTGTCAAAACTTGACGTATGATTTTGACAGCTGCAAGCGGTTTAAAAGTCCCCTTACCCACTTTTAGGGAATCGTCGCTCACTTTTATCCTAAAAGCGCTCCAAAAGAAAAAGCTTAAAAGGAGGTATGGCTGTTAAAATACGTCTTTAATGGCTTCTTTTAAGGATTTCCAATAAAAGTGGTTTAAAAGCGAGACATGAGTCGGGTCGCATTTAACAGTGTTCTAAAATATGTCTTTTAACGCTAAAAGTGAGACACGAGTAAGGACCCAAGTCTCAACAATGCAACGTGGTAGCCTCCTCTTATAATAACATTCAAAAGACATTAAATCATCTTTCTATAGCAACCATCAATGAAAGGTAAACATGCAAGTCGAGGCCAAGGGAAACTCATAACAACTGGACTAATTTTCGGAGTCACTTAAGAAACGAATCGTTAGAAGTGCAACCAGAGGCTTCGAAGACTCTAACGGAGTCCCTTAGAGAAGCATACACAGAGACAGTGCGGAAGGAGTTTCTATAAATAGTTTTACCAGGCAACACCAGTGACTCTGGATTATGCGAGACCGCAGGTACGGGGAGAATATTTTTAGTCGGCGTTAACGCCCTCGCAACGCCCTCCTCGTTGGCCCTCTCCGTCTTCGGGTGGATCGGACAAATCAGAACGGGGACCTCTTCCATCCGCGGCAGTGCCCACACGGTTACCTAAAATTCACACGAGAATCCCGTCTTCAGCTCCGTTAAACGCACCGACACACCTTTTGTAAGAGATCGGGGCACCCGGTGACGCATCTGCCGGTTAAAAGTAGGATTTTCGTTAAGAGTGCCCTCCTGCGCCCAGAAATAGAGAGCTGGTCGGTACTTCGGGTAGCTTGCCACCCGAATTACCGTGTCATTACATGCAAAGATACGCCAAACCTTCGGCCACTCGACGTTAAGGTGAAGTGAAACACGGGCGAGGAACTTGATCGACGTCGGTGAAAAAGATTCTTCTAAATACCTACGTTACCGACGTTCGTTTTTATATCGACAGCTGTGTCTAATTAAATTCGGTATTGTACTAAATGGCATACTCCATCTATCATTTTCGTGCAATAATTATAAAGAAATAGAAGTAAAACTCCAGAAATCCTCTGGATTCATGGTTTCTGAGGCTCCGATTGACTGCAGAGGGACGCCCTGCGCCATCTGTGATTTCCACGTCAACTAAATTTTCACTCCAAGACCTCGTATTAGATTAATCATTGTTTTAGCATAGAAGCGCATAAGACACTTTTTTTGCCTTTACATCTCGTTCAAATGCGAGTTTCTCAATTAACGGAGTATTCTAAATTGCCCTGACCACTTTCATTTCTCATATTACAGCCTTCAATAATTGTATATCGATCGAAATATGAGAATTCGACACCATTTCGGTTATGGCCTGGGCTAAGCTGAAAAAGTTCTTTGAAAAATCCAAATTTTGAAAGTGTCAGGATAATTCCTAGGTCCTCACGAATCAGGTGTCAAAGTTTCAGATAGTTCTATCCAATACCCTTAAAAAAAAAAAGCGTCTTATTCGAATGGACGGATTTGAGGGGGATTTCACTTCACCTTTAGAGGATGTGAAAGTGGCGTCTGAGGAGTCAATAATTCATGAAACTTTTCTCCGAACTGGGTGTACCGAATCGTTTCAAACTTTACAACGTGAATATGGAAACCCTAAGGTACGGTCCTGAAACTCGCGAAATTTCATTTTCACACAAAGTTCTGAAAATATCTATAAACAAATTTTCTTAAAATTGAAATGTCATGGGTGTCAGCGTCTTCTTCGTACCCTCTATATTCATGTTGTAAAGTTTGAAATGATTCGGTACATCCAATTCGGAGAAAAGTTTCATAAACGAGACCGCTTCGATGTCACTTTCACATCCTCTTAAGTCGCAAAAAATCTCACTTAGGAATCAAGGGACGAATCGTACGCGGTATTTACGGAGGGAGATAGTTCATGTGCTCATTCTCATTCTTGCAAAGAAACTCCACAGAGTTTCGCGCCAGGTGTATTTTGTCAACGATTTGAAAAAACCTCCCGTTTTGAAACGTCGACTTAAGATGATATGAAAGGCGCTGAGAAATTTCATCGAGGCCGATAAATTAAAATTCATCTATACCCTTTTAGGTGGTAACGTCGTTTTGAATACCCAAGTGGTAACATAAGCTGGCGCGACCCAATACCGACATTTATATTTATGTAGAGTTATCTTTTACAGTCTACGTTGACAATTATACGAAGTAAAGTGTTCCATGTGTTATTTCGGTAAAGTAATGATGAAGATATCGACGTAAAACTGTTGAAATCCCGTGAATTCATTATTCTAACGACTGTTTAAGGCCAACGTCGCCATCTGTGACGTTTAGCTGCAACTAAATTTTTGTTCTGAGAACAGGCGTTAGCCCAGCATTCTTTTGCAATCGTTGGTGAAAGTATTTCCCATATTTTCCCATCTGACTCTGTGATATTCCATTTCTACGGTATTCTAAATTGTTCGAGCTAGGTCCTGAAACTCTTTATTTTCGATTTTAAGCCTCCAAGAAGCGTACAATATCGAAAACTTGCCCAGGCCACGCCATGTTGGTTCTAGTCCATCATAAATAAATCAATTTTTTATGAAAAATGAAACATCGTGAGTTTCAGGACCTACTTTACGGCCTGCATATTCCCGTGGCAAAATATGAAACGAACCGGTACCCCCAATTCGGAGAATACTTTCCCCAACGATTTGACTTCTCGGATATATATAGGCTGATTCTTTCATATCACCTTAATGGATTGTAAATGTGCGTTAAAAGGCGTGAGCCTTCGATAGAATCGCAATTACAGTTAACAGTTTGACGACGTACCTTGATGGAATTCCCATCGGAACTGTCAGCCAAAGGGAAGGTGTGCTCGGTCGGTGGTTCGCGAAACCTTCTGAGATTGTCTTCGTTGTAGGGCACCACTCTGGTGGCAATATAACTTGGATTCGCGCCACAGCTCCGGGACCACCAGGCAGCAACTTGGCTGAAATGCAGTCTCGAACGAACCGCTTGATAAAGCCCCTGACAATTCATCATTTCCGGGCCCCTGGAATAAATCAACCCCATTTCTGCATTAATTTTTCTCTCTTCTTCGACCTTAATATTATTATTATATACTAATCGTAACAAAATATTCTGGTGTTTGAATTAATTTCATCCACATATTTATGTATAACTATTTATTTATACTTACTTGCTCGGTACGATGCTGATGCACCAGTATTCGAGCAACATCTCGGAAGAGTGTTGCCAGGGAGGTATGGATATGAATGGTATGGGAAACACTGGATCTTTGCAGGTGGCTTTCGCCAGACCACATGGACAATCGCTGCATAATAACACCTCGATGCACAGAAATGAACCAATTGCGGTGCGGTCTGCAATCTCTCGAATCAATACATGGTATCGGTCACACTGAAAGTGAATAACGAAGTCAATACGTGAAACAGCGAAGGCATGATAACTTTAAAACACAGCTGTCAGTATATGTGACTCTGTGTTATATTAATTATTTATATTTATAGATTTACAAAGAGAATCGTTGAATGAGAGAAATTCATTATTAACACTAGAACTACTGGCGGATTTTTTTTCTAGGTAAGCCATCAGGTTTGGTAGTGCTAGTTTTAAATACTGGTAAAGGCGTACCAAGTAGCTATCCTTTTCGCACAAATGATTGTTCGGTGCTGCCTGAAGAGGAGCGGAGCAATGAGGACCCTCCTTGTACCCACGCGGAGGACCCTGGATTCTTCCTTCGTTTACAAGGACTCCAAGAGCTCGGACCACATTCAGAACACCTCCTCGACCGCTAACCCCATTGGGGCTAGCTGTGCCACCCGTCACTGCGCCTAGGCAGTGCATGCCTAGAAAATGAGACAGTACAATATTTATACAAATCATTATACAGATTGAAATAGATAAATTTTCATAGAATATCACCCAAATTAACGTATTTTGTACAATGATTAACCCCTTGCGCTACAATGACGAACTGGACTCATTCAGCTAGAATGCTTCAAAAATTAAATCAAAGCGCAAAGGGTTAAACAGCCTGCAGATCGTTCGAAAAGAGTACTGATCTATAAGTCCCTTTTGGCTTCTTCAAGAGTTTAATTTAGACAGCGTGTAAAGCGTATTATTGAGTAATGACCAATAATAATATCATCAATTACGGTACAGGGTTAATTACCAAGGTCAATGTGACATCATTACTGCCAAAGCCAGAAAGCTTAAATGTTAACAGATACACAGGTTCTTTTTAGGTTAATGGATCTCAGCCAAAAAGGGAGGCTCGCCTTGTTCTTTCTATCATTTATCAAATTGAATAAGCACCGATTAGCCATTTCTTGTTATCGAAGAAAAAATAGATTTAACTTAAAAGTTTAACGTTTAGATAATAATGTACATAAAATAACAAAAATAGTGATACTTGGTATAGATTATCTAAAGTATGTATGACGTAATTCATCATGTACATTGTTTTTAAAAAAACTGATGAAACCAGTAATTCAAGTCAGTTGATTTAAATCAAACACAGCCAGCTATGTAATATAACCACGGTATATCCGAATGTGAGTGTCTGATCAAATCAGTGCTCTTTCAGGTTGCTGCTAATTATAGTCAGATACGTTTTGACCATTCTACCATTGAGGTAAACGACCAGTTATCATTGATTACACAATCCTCGTTAGGAGGGCTTAATTCCTCCATGCAGCGATAAACTTATTTATAGATTCAAAGAGAGATATAAAGGCAAAATAACTTTCCCAGAATAAAAACTTATAAAAACAAAAGGGCCGTTTAGTTAATACTGGAACTACGACACGGGTCAAAATGACTTGTTTCAAATGGCTCATCCTATAAAAAAAAAAAATCTACGCCGTTCTAATGTTAAAAGAAAAATTTAAAACCATCAACGACAGCGTTAATGCATTGACTGTTATAATATGTTATAAACAAATTATCAGCCCCACCAACACTTACCATTTGTAATGGTTCTTTAATAATACTTTAAATATATAACAGAAGTTCAGTAATAATCAGACTATTAAATAACATGGTCTTATATAAATCCGAAGCTAAGTGTAGATTTTAGAAAGTGAGCACCTCTCTTTCCAGATTTTTTTTCGATCTTTTAAATAAACATTGTCATCAGTAAGAATCTAATTTATAGCTGAGAACACTACATACTCTGATCTGGTCGGGCGTTTCAACTAACGCTATCAGTTGTTAACAGCTGTAAATCTCTAATCTCTTAACACGTTTTTTTAAACAATGATAAGAATGTTGCTAGATACTTGCTAAGAAGGCTCTTTAAACCACTGATTTCATCGGAAAGCCAAACTGTCATCTCGAAGTTAAGAAAGGAATATAAATGTCAACTCGATTAAGACCATAAAACTGTCCAACTCTCCATCGAAGGAATCTGACGCAACAAAATGATCCTTAAACCAACGGCAAATAAGTTCCCTAAGTAGCGCTGAAAAAGAAAGAATAAGTAAGTCGAGTTCTCCCCTCCCTATAACGGGTGTCCGAGGCGTAGCTTACGCAACGTCGGGGCCGTTTAAACCCTTAAAAATCGGTAACTCCTATAGTAGGAGGTTACCGACAAGTCTAGAAACTTCCCGCAAATCGTGAGGTCGCAACTTACTTGCCGCGATGGGCATTTACGGGGAAATAAACGTCTCAAGGTCCCGCGATGCGAAGCGCGTAAAAGAGAAGACACCGTCACGCGCTACGCAGACGGGATTCACGTCCGGGCTTTAATCGGACGGTAGGGAATCTCGAGTTGGTCGGCCATCCATCGAGTATCAACTCCGAAACAGATCGCGTGCAGCTTGCCGAGGAACTATCGCCGAAAAACGCCATTCCTCCCCACGACATCGTGACAGCACCGTAACAGCACCCGATACCACGACGGCCGCCATGACACTGACTTCGCCAGCCTTCCGAAAAGAAAGCGCTCTCCTATTCGTGGTTGCCAACCGCGCGTTCTGATTGGTCGGCCAATTAGAGCGCGCCATTCAAATCGCAACCGCAAAGATCGCGGGCGATTTGAACGGAGCGCGTGCATGGACTTTAAACAATAAATATTACAAAATGCTTTCTTTAAGTGCGACTTCTTATGACAAAATGAAAGGCTAATCAAAGCGCGCCGTTTAAATCATCTATAGCCGTTAACCCTCGTGCATGCATTTTTTAAATAAAGACAAACATCCCGAAATGCTCTTTTGAAGTGAAACTTCTTATCACACAATGATACGTGTAAGTTTGCACGTTATGAAGGAGGCCTGTTTCGGAAAGTGAAATATTTTTCTACAGTTAATTACTATTTACATTTACCTTTGTGTTTTAGTATAAACACAATTTGAATAAGCGGTCTCAATTCTCTTTCTTTTTCTTTTCTTTAGTTACTTACTATTTATATCCATCTTTATGTTTTAGTATTTACACAATTTCCGTGAATATTTTCGATGGTATCGGTGTGTTATTCTCTTGGATAATTATTCACATTTAGAGTAAAATAAAAATAATGATTCCCGAGAAAAATTAATACTGAATGCGTAAGGGCATTTCGTGAAAGAATAATTAATAATATCGAATATTTCTCATTACTTCAGAAGTTTCGCTTCCGACGATCGTGGCAGCCACGCATCGATTTTTTATGAATAATTAGGTACCACAGAGATAATTGCTAATTTAATGAATCGATTTACATAAACGTCCCCTATATGGTTACCATGCTCGGGTACCAGGGTATCGGGTGACCATGCATGCGGTTTTATCGATTTCTCCTATCAATTTCCCAAAGTTTTTCGAAAACGAAACGTCGACCTCGCCCATTTTCCTAATAAAACATAATTATATAGCGAGATGAATAATCTTAGGCCTCTTTAGCATTTTAAATTAGTCAAGGGGCGCAGCTTGGAACAAAGAATCGAAGTGAATCAGCGGGTGATTTCGCAGCTAGATGAACAATGCGCCTTGTTGAGAATAATTTTCCAACGCGTGATCACTGTTATCGACTTTACGAGGTTATTCTCTATTCCACTTACAAACGGTTGATTATTCCTTATTCTCAGAACTACGCGAATACTTGTAACTATAATCTATCCCTTACGGATAAAAACGATCTATCCCCATTTCCCGTTTACTTTTTTTACACTATAGGATTCAAATAATAAATTCGCGCGGAGAGTTCACACCTTCTAGTATTTTCCGGATTTTTCACCGTCTTCCAGTATTGTCCCTGTTGGACGTTAAAACGCCTTTAATATTTTTCTAATTAAAATTTCCAAAACTTTATTTAAAGTTTCCGCGCACGCGACCAACTGTAAAAATCAGCTGATCGATCGACCCTGAAGTACACGGTTAAATTTTGATAATCTAAATTATAACTAACCCGCGCGAAAAGTTCATATATTTTCCGCTGTTTCCCTCAACTATTATCGTCCCACTTAGTCGGGGAAATACTATTATTGGGTTTTAATTAAAACTGTCGAAACTTTATTTAAAGTTTTCGTGCACTCGATCAGCTGTCAAAATCAGCTGATCGGGAAATGGGAGGGTTTGGAATCAAATTTCTAGAATCTGGGTAATAACAAATCTGTCGGAAAAGTTCAAACATTTTCCATCGTTTCCATCTTTTATTATCTCTCATGGACGGTAATACGTCATTACTATTTTTTAATTAAAATGCCCTATATTTTATTCAATGTTTCCATGTACGCGGCCAGTTGTCAAAATCAGCTGATCGAATGACTGGAAGATTTAATAATCACTAGAATTGAAATAATATCTCGTCTACGCGAAAAGTTCACAAATTTTCCATCATTTTCCTGTCCTATTATCGTTTCTACTAAACGATAAAACACCACGACTCTATTACAGTTAAAATTTTCGATATTTCATTAAAAGTTCTTACATGTGACCGGCTGTCAAACTCAGCTGATCAGCCGAAGGCACGCAGTGAAATTTCTAAAATCTACACGAAATGTTCATACATTTTGCACGGCTTCCTCTCTAATTATCGTCTCTATTAGGTGATAAAACACCATTACCGCGTTTTAATGAATGTGTCTCACTTCGTTCAAAAATTTTACGCAAGTGCCCAGCTGTCACAATCAGCTGATCGGCCGGAGGCACACGATGACATTTCTAAAATCTACACGAAATATCCATACATTTTCCACGGCTTCCTCTCTCATTATCGTCTCTATTAGGCGATAAAACGCCATTACCGTGTTTTAATGAAAGTGTCCCATACTTCATTCAAAGTTTTTACGTAAGTGTCCAGCTGTCAAAATCAGCTGATCGGCCGGAGGCACACGATGAAATTTCTAAAATTTACACGAAATGTTCATACATTTTCCACGGCTTCCTCTCTCATTATCGTCTCTATTAGGCGATAAAACACCATTACCGCGTTTTAGTGAATGTGTCCCATACTTCATTCAAAGTTTTCACGCGAGTGTCCAGCTGTCAAAATCAGCTGATCGGGCGATCGGAGGGTACGCGGAACACACCTGGGAATGTTCTGCTCCCTTGGAGACATTCTCCGACGCATTGCAGGAGCATTGCCGGATTTCCGGGGCTTCCTCTTCCTTTTTCCTGGCTCGCTTTCTCGAGAAAATCGGGGGAACGGCGAGGAACTAGGAGTGAGGTTTTCACTGTACTCTCACCGGGCACGATCGGACGGGAAACGAGCCTTTCGATGGCCAAGCGAACCGAGTCGGAGGCGCATTACGCGATCGCCGATGTCTTCGGGGATTTTCACCGAGCCACCCGAAGCCGGCGAAAGCGCCTAGATAATCCTTCTCCCCACTTCGGAAAAGAGAAAACGCCGAGCGCAGATACCGCCTCTTATCGCCCTGGAACCACGGAGCACCTGACGCGTCGGCCGAAACTTTATCGACCATCAATTTTCCTTTATTATTTTTTTTTAACGTAAAATAAGACCTTTTCAAAGGTACATTGCAGTCAACGCGATCAAGCGACGTGACGAAAATCACTTATATACTGTTCTACTGTTGCTTGCCTAATTACAGCGAAAACAAATAAAAGATATACGACTTGAAAGAGTTACAATGTCCGCTGATTCTAAAACAATGGAATTTAAAAAGTTTCGAAGATTGACAAAATATAGTCTCCAAACATGGCACGATTTTCCATGCGGTTACTTTCAAAAGTCTCTTAAAGTTATCGCCCGACAATTAAACAATTGCATGAAAACGGCCTAATATCTCAACAATTGCTCTAGAAGATACAAACGCATTTGAAAATACTAAAGCATGCCCCAAGAGACCAGAATGCCGACAATTGGACCTCGGTAAAATAAAAAATCCGCGCGATTCTTTGTACCTCAAAGTAAATGGAAGGGGCTTAATACAAGCGCAATGGATCGATATTAAAAAATGAAGATAAACAAGAATGTATGATTATGAACCATCGGCGGTAGACCGCGCTCAGCTCGGGGCTTTAAAAAACACTATGTTCTCCTTCTCTTTTACTATGGTAAACGAAAGAGGCGATTTTGTGGGTCTTTCTTTTCCTTTTTTAAGAAAAGGACTACCGCGGCTTCCAAACACTCCACGTCCGGGTCGGGTTTAAGGAGCAAAGAGAAAACGACTGCAAAGGACGAAGAATCGCTGCTTGACGGACAGTCGGCCGGTCCGATTGCAAAAGAAAGGAGAAAAATGTCAACCGAGGACCGCGACGCGGACGCGCGAATCATCCGGAATTCGAATAGAGCGAAGCGAGCAACTTAAAGCCTTTATATACGGCCAGAAAACGGCCGGGGGTTGAATAAACACGCGCGGATCATGCGCGAGGCATTTTCAGCCCTCGTGAGGCCGACCAATGACGAAGTGGAGCTCCAGGGTTCCCGAGAGGGTGAAAAACCGAGAAGAGTGGGTGGGTTTTAGCGCGGGTGTGAACGTCCGATGACGATGGACCGTCAAAGAACCTCCGGCCTCCTCTCTACACGGTCGACCGAGGCACATCAAGGTAAAGACGCGCTTCACCACCGGGAAAATAATTATAAAAATGAAGGACAACAACGACAGCGTCGACGACACCGACAATGGTAGTCGAAGTCCCTTGGCAATTTTTCAAACGACGGGACTGAGATTGTCCGACGTCGAGTTTCCTCCAATTCAATGGATTTAATCGAATTGAATCACTAATTAATGGGATTTTCGTGCGCTTCGTTTGCCGAATTTGAAGGTGCACTGTTAACAAAAAAATATATTGTAATTTTATTACCCTTTTGTTGGAAGTTTTATTCAGTTTTATTCATTTTATTATTTATTAAAACCGATCGTATAATTAAAAACTCATTCAAAAAGATTACACGCAATATGTACCAAATGACATTGGAATATCAAATTTATAATTCTTCCGGACAATTTCATAAAATGACAACGCAATGTTATAAAATTATACATTTTATAATCAATCTATGCTAAGTCACCGTTAAGACATCAAATTTATAATTTCACTACGACCTTACGTACTAAAAACCTATGAGTTTTATGAATTTTTTTGACAGGCTATACCACGTGGTCGCTGGGGTACCACGTGACGCGGCCGCCATCTTGCGCGGAGTTTGAAAATTGTTGGATAAACATGGCCGCGATATATGAGAGAACCAGAGAGAATATCATGCTTTTTGCCCTGTGCATGGATAAATGGCGACACTATTAAGGGACATGAGCGGGAGCGGCTCGTTCTCGCAAATGAATCGTGACCTCGCACGTGTCGCTAGATGACTCGAGGAAAAGGCGCGACGCGGAATTTACGTACGATATGCAGCGGCACGTGCATCGAGTACGCCCGCGCACAGCTAAGCGACCTCCGAGGTAGAAATTTTCGCGAAACACTTTTCCGCCGGTCTTTTGGCACC